TATGATAGGTGTTTTCCCATAAACCAAAAATTTTGATTTTTTCTTTCTAAATTTAGTTTCTGAAAAATTTTCAGTTGTAGTTGCAACCGAGCACAAGTGACAAAGACCTTGGTTACTCAAAACACCAAAGGTTGGACGGTCTTGCATTTACACTGCATAGCAAACGACCTGAATTTGGCTGTCTTTCACAATTGATATAACAAAAATAACAAACTTATATTTTTTGGCAAAATTTTTTAATGATGATTATATTAAATTTTTGAATTTTCAAATTATCAGACATTGATCAAGGCGTACATTAACACCCCATACTAAAGAAAGAGGAATTTTTAGCGTTTTTGAAAAAAAAAATTCAGTGAAAAGAAAATAAAAGCCAATTTTATCGTATCCAGGACTACGTTATGCACACAAAATATTAACTTTTGCATGCAAAAATTTTTTTTCGAAAAATGTTTGTTTGCGTACGAAAATCGATTTGCGGTTTAAAAAAAATAATAATTTTTGGGCCAAATTTTCAAAATTACTTCGCCATCAAAAAAATGCCAGTCATACAATTTCCATATATGGGAATTGTATGATAAGCATTTTTTTCAAAAAAAGAAAACCTCAGTTTTTTATCACCAGATTGTTTTTTTAGAATCAAACAGCCACAGAAATGAGTTTATACCAGTTTTCAACCATTTTTAGAAATTGTATGAAAATTGTATGACAAGCATTTTCCCACACACTTGATGTATGGAAGTGTATGATAAGCATTTTCGGTGTATGGAGGTCAACCCGGGTGATTGTACTATTTTCTTGGTCCAGTTCTCTCAAGTTCAGCTTTTTTCTGGTATCCCTGGTTCACTCGTTTTCAGATTTTCTCTAAGAAATTCGATTTTAGTTTTTTTTTCATTTTCAGTTTTTTTATTGTTAATTATGCTCACATATGATACTGTGAAGCGCAAATCTTTTATCGGAATCTAGAGATTTAATTCAAAAGGTTCAATTACTTTCAAAATGATTTCACGTTTACGTAATGTTTTGTTTGGACTAAATTTGGTTTGAGAAGCGGTTAGAATTAGCTTTAGGGTGAGTTAACGATGAAACAATTGTAAAGACCCTCAACCAATCGAATTTTTTCTTTTTGGCGACTTACTTCTGAACTTAAAAAAATTTAAAGCAAAACTGCTCATGACAGTGGATCCCCGATTGATCTGACTTCTATTATTTCATGATACAGTTTCGAAAAAAATGTGAAAATACAGTTTTGAAAAGTTTAAAGAATTTTTGAGTTGCTTTGAAAACTAATTCGCACACAGTAGAGTACAAAATTGCTGGTTAAAAAATCTAAAATTCTCTTGGAGATTAAAAAAATCCAGGGCCAGCTCAACTATTTCACCATTTTATTCAAAAACTGGATATATACTGCCGAGACGGTTCAAACCCATAATTTCGGACATAACTTTTTCTGCTCCGGCTCTTTCGATCAAACATTAAATCCATTATACTTTTTGCAGTGGGCAAAACCTAATCAAATTTGTTTTTTGTATGCTCAAATGAGCAATCACAGATTAGATCCTGAAAGATTTCGCAGGATTTTGGCTTCGTATTAATGGTAGAGAAAATTAATTTCTTTTTGCTGACGCTTTTGATTGACATTTTAGGTCAGAGTAATGGCCAATAATTTCACTTTTTGATGCTTGTGCCTTTGGAAGGGTAGGAAGGATATTTGGCTGATCGGGACGCCCACTAATGAGAGAAAATGGAGGGTTTGAGTTGCTGTCTGTCGCTTATGGCGGTAATCTCAGTAACACTAAAATGACGTTTTTTATTCCTACCACATATCATAGGAGTTGACTAAGAAGGTATTATGAAGACCCTTTGAGAACAGATTTTATTCACTTGGCTATCATTTGTGAAAAAATTTGATATTTTGGAGAAAATTTTAGTCGCGTAGCTTCCACATGAATATACAACTTCATGGGGGAAGAATGCTAGTCATACAATTCTCATACATGAGTGTTGTATGACTGGCATTTTTTTCGGTGTTCGGAGTTCAACCCGGATATCCAGGTATTTTTGAGTATTTTCAGGTAGTTTAATTGCTGTTTGACCAGTAGCGTATTGAAATGGAGTGGCTAAAAGAAGCCAAACTGTGCACTGAATAGGCGCTCAATTTTGTGTCTGTATTTTTCTGGATTCATAGACAAACCTTTAACAAATCTTTGTTCCAAAATACAAGTGGATTCCACGTACAAATACCTGTAACGTAGGTTTTGTCGGCACAATTGTTGTGTCGCGGATTCCGCAACAAGCGAATATATCTAACTGTTCGGGATTCCGCAACTTTAACTGAATTCCACAAAATTTAAAAGTAAAATCCGCAAAGGTAAGTGGAATCCGCAAATGTAAGTGGAATCCGCAAAATTTGTAAGCAAAATCCGCAAATGTTCACAGATTCCGCAAACTGTAAGTGGACTCCAAATTGTTTGTTACCAAACTTGCATATGTAGAATTAAAAGCTAGATTTGAAATTCTTATCTATAGGAATGCGGAATATAAAAGAAAGGACAACCATTTTCAGCGGAATCCACGAACGAATCTCAAAGCATTGGTTAACTAAATCGTTGGATGTCACCTTTTAGTGTTTTGGAAACACAACGCCGAATAAATTCAATATTTGGAGTCATTAGGTTGAAATACAACGCACAGAATATTGCCGAATTAGGTCAGTATTTGGGATTGCATCAATCCCAAACAATGGTTTTGGAAACACAACACCGAATTTACACAACACCAAATAAATTGTGTTTTGGAAACACAACGTACAGCATGTCGCTGAGTTAGGTAAGTATTTGAGATTGGATTAATCCCAAAAAATGGTCAGTAATTGGGGTTCCATCAATCCCAAATATTGATTAAGTTGATTTCAATTCTAGTCACTTCATGAGGGCAGTATTTGAGACAAGTCGAAAGTGGAAACAAATCATGAGTGTTTTGTTTGAATATATGATGCTACAGTTTTCTGAATAGCTAACACCTAATGGCAAATAAAATGCAGATTCCACTTACATTTTTTTTACCGGTTTCACCGACAGTTGCGGAATCCACAACAGCTCAATTTAACTATACACGTGTCCTATTTTTTGACTGTAGAAAACCACAAATTGTTCTGGATTCCGCAAAAACGGTTGCGGATTCCGCAACTTTGCTCGTCTTTGGAGCTATTTTGAACGGTACAGTGTACTAAAGCAAAAAAGATAAATAAAAAATGTAGCAGATTCCGCGACAAACCTGATGTTAGCCTGTTGCGGAATCCGCTTACAATGCACAGAATACACAGTTTGGCCTCGCAATGTCTAGTTTTTTGTTATCAACGTGCTGATCAAACCCTAAATTAGTTTTTAATGCAATGTTGGTCATCAATTTGTTCTAAGTTGACGGGAAAATGGGGAGAAGCCCTGTATTCGGGTGATATACTTTTTTTTCCGCAAAAAATAAGGTACCACAATTAATCATTTGAATGGATCGAGTGATGTATCAATTTGAAACATGATTATAACCACCAGCGGATTTGAGGGGGGAGGACCATCGCCTCTTGTCCTCAGAGATTCGACCCCCTGCCGAACCAGAGTGTCACCGTTTTCTAACTGTTTTACGTTATCCATTTTTGGCTGGTAGACCCTAAAATTTTTCTAAAGGTGCCTCCGGCGCAGAAATTACTAAAATCTGGGGGAAGCGCGCGCCAAAAAAAACGCTATTTTTAGACCAAAGTTTTCAAATAAAAACCCTAAAAGTCCTTTTTCGGGCCTGTTTTTTCAACATTTTGCCTGTGGAGCAGAAAATTTGGTCAAAATAGGGTTTTTATAATGATTTGTAAGTGCTCGGAAAATCAGTTTGGTCGACCTAAAGAAAAAAGTTGATAAAATTTCGAACATTTTCTGAAACTCAGCGCCCCTTCGAGAAAACCTTAGATCAGCCCCTGATTAAAACTCTGAATCATAATTTGATAGAGAATTAAAAACTTTCGAAAAAACTCCAATGTTGAGAAACCTGGTTTAAATTTTTCGAGGTGCAGATCAATTTTGAGCGATTCAAGCGACCCGTTAACCTTCGTGAAAATTCAATTCTTTTAAAATTTAATTATTTCACCATTTCTTGGTACCAGAAGTTTGGGGAAAAATTAAATTACTTATTGCCCAAAAAATTAGTAAGAAATTTTTTTTAAAGATTTTTTTCCTTTTTTCTTTGTCATTCAATTTTTTAGACAAATGTTGCATATTATGCCTCTTTCGCTAACTTTCTACGCGTTTGCAGAGTTCTCTTATCACAATAATCACTAAAATGACATTAATTTGGAAAGAACCTTATGCAGTTTGCAGTTCATTATGAATGTGGTCGTAACATTCTGTGCTACTTGCCCAGCAACTGGCTATCCTTCTATTTTTATTCTCACAGTTTGTATTACTTAGCGTTCTGCTGGAGCACCAATCTTTTCAATGCTCCACCTCTTTTTTCCATTGAATGGCTTACATCTAAAAACGACCATGTCAACAATATCAATTCTCCCTTATTCCGCAAACAACTTTTAGATCCATATCGAAAATACAGCGAGGAATAAGGTCTTTTGTCAGTTTTTGTAATATATCCATTCCTTTGAAATAAGGAGAATTTTGAGTACACACTTGGGATTGATATACGAAAAAAGCGGAATAAAAACTAAATCGTAAAAAGTATCAATTTGTGCATTACACGAATTTTTTTCCAAAGTAAAAACTTTTATTATCGACCAATTTTATTAGCATTCAATGTTATTTGCTATATGAGGTATCTGCAAAAATGCACAAATAATAACTATATTTTTGAAAAAGCAATTTTCGAGTCGCTTTAGTGACATTGTAGTTCATTTTTCGAGTGACTTCTAAAGTAAAGAGCCTCAAAGTATTATCTGCAGTTTTCATTTCAGCAATTTTTTACGATTGCAATTTTTGCTGCAATTTCTATCCTCTTTGCTCTAGTAATTACCCTGGTCATCAATCTACACAGAGATCATTAACATGCTACCTATTCTGCGTCTACCATTCCCTAGAATACTTATCTCGAGTTGTGTCAAAAAGATATTCGAGCAACCCATTTAAATGCCACAATCACGACTGGAATAATGGAACGTCAGATTTGACGTAAATTGGCACACTTATTTGTGAATAGCCCAGAATTCTGCTTAAGCTCTTCAGAAAACGACGAAATGAACAACGAATCATCACAAAATGTAAGTTCTGGAATTATACTAACATATATTATGTTGATACTTATGCTAATCACTGGTCTATTATTTCAGTGTATAATTAATGGCAAAAACTGCGGACAGACAGAAATAATTCAGAAAAGTAAATGACATAGTGCTGATTTAAATTAACCGGACAAAACGCATAAAACTTGAACTTTAGATTAAATTGTTCTCAGATTGGGATGACTTTAGACAAGAAATGATCAGGTCAAAACTGGCTTCAAATTTCAGCATAAATAACATTGGTCAATTTGTTTAACGAAAAACGTGCTAAAACATTTACACAAAAGCACTATTTTCGGATTTTCGGATACAAATATTTCCAAAACTTTATATAACAAAATTGAACTTTTGACTATGAAACGAATTTAAATTTAATTTTAGAAAAATCATTTGGAGGCATGACTATACACTCGATAGACGCACAGTTTTGTTTCTGTATGTTCTTAGATTCCAGAAACTAATCTTTATACATGATACAAAATGTAATTGGATTCCACTAACAAAATTTTCGTGGATTTTGCGTACAAATAACTGTAACGTAAATTTTGTCGGCACATTTGTTGTTGAATATAGGTTGTTGTTCTGAATTCCGCAAAAGGAATCCGCAAATGTAAGTGGATTCCGAGTTTTGCGTTTTACTGAACTTGCATATGAACAAATAAAAGCTAGAGCTGGAACTCTTCTCTTTTGCAAGGAAGAATTTAAAAGCAAGGGCTTAATCCTTGTCAGCGTAATCCACGAACTAATCTTAAAACATCGGTTAACTAAATCAGTGGATTTCATCCTTAGTATCTGGATACATATCCCAGCAAACAACTTTTGAGATCCTTGTTTTGGAAACACAACACCGAATAATTTCATTTGGGGAGAATGTTTAAAAGACAACGCACAGCATATCGCCAAATTATGTCAGTATTTGGGATTCCATCGATCTCAAACATTGATCAGTAATTGGGATTGTAATGGAATATTATAGAATGAATATCGAATAATTTCTTTATTTGGAGTCATTAGGTTGGAGTCAAATACTGGAATATTATAGAAGGAATATCGAATAATTTCATTATTTGGAGTCATTAGGTTGAGAGTGTTTAGAAACCCAACGCATAGCAAATCGTCAAATTAGTTCAGTATTTGGGATTCCATCGATCCCAAATACTGGTCAGTATTTGGGATTGATGGAATAGAAAGAATATGGAGTTATTTCATTATTTGGAGTCATTAGGTTTGAGAGTGTTTAGAAACACAACGCACAGCATATCGTCGATTTAGGTTAGAATTTGGTTTTTCATCGATCCCAAATACTGGTGAGTAGCGGGGTTTCCATCAATCCCAAATACTGAAGCTGGGTGTTGGACAGAAATTGAGATCGAACGTTAGGCGTAGTAATTTAGTAATTGAGATTGAACTTAGTAATTTAGTAATTTAGTGTTTGAGATTAAACTTGCTGGTGAAAACCTAGTAATTAAAAGATATGACTCTAAACGCTACAACATATATACATATATGTAAACGGATTCCGCAAACAAAATACGGATTTCACTTACATTTTCGGGATTCCGCTTACAATTGAGGATTCCGCATCAGCTCAATTTAACTATACAATTATTATTTGTTTGTGAGTTCCACAAGTTGCTCTGGATTCCGCAAAAACGATTACCGATTCCGCATATTCGTTTATTTTGTGGAGCGATTTTGAGCAGTACGGTCTTTTAGGTATTTGTTTGTGGAAACCAAAAAAGAAAAGAAGATCAAAGAAAAGTAGCAATGTTGCGGATTCCGCGACAAATCTGATTTTGGCTTGTTGTGGAATCCACTTACAAAACACAGAATGCACATTTTGGCCCCGTAATGACTGAGACCATTATACCTTTTTGAATTTTGTTGGGAAAAGCAAGAGCCTCACTTTGGCATTTTGTCCGCAATTGAATCAATCGTTTTATCGAAAATTTTGGTTAACTATAAACCAAAAAACGTAGTTTTGGGGTAAGATTTTGGGCTCAATTTTTGCGAAATAAATTACACCATATTAGTTCTTTCTGTTCGACTTCTAATCAATTTTATCAACGAACTTTCTTGTCTGCAGTCAATCCAATTTTAGAAAAACGCGTTTTAAAAGCCATGTAATAATCGTTTTGTCCGGTTAGTTTTTAAATTGGCACTGTATTTTTGCATCCAAACGCTACTTTTTTTGGAAAGTATGTCTTGATGTCGCCTAAATATTCAAATTTGCCTGCAAAAATTGTTCAAAGCTAGCAGATGTTTGTGCAACTCTCTATAAGTTGTGCTATACTCCATGTTGAATATTTCACCACTCGTAAAGTTTAGGACAACCATTTGAATAAGCTTTAAAAATTCAAAATAAAGCGAGCTTATGACTAATAAATTCAATGGGTACCGATTTTTGTTTTTCTTTTATCAAAACTTCATTGTTAAAAAGCTGGCTCCAAAAAAAAAGATTTTAGCGCAAGATTTGTGCTGGGGGTGATTTCTTTTTGGAAAAAAATCGTTTTAAAGTGGGTAAGTGTAAATCAACTGCTCTGCATAAAAAATGATTTCAACAGATTCTTACGTAACAGAAAAACGATTTTATTAGATTTATGCTAAGTAAAAAATTGTGGCGATATGCTACAATGCATGGTGATTTTGAGTACAGTGCATGCATTACAACCCGCACCGATATTGTCATTATATGTTCAGCATCTATAAAATGAAAAAATAATTGATTATAATCCATTAAAAATGTATTATAATTCTAAAATTTTTTATCCCAATAAAATCCATTATATTCCATTATATATAATGGATTTTTTCGAGAGGTTATTCATGAAATTTAGAGTTTTGTTCAAAATTATCTCAATTCCTGTTTAGTGTAGTTGCTACGTGTTATGTTTCATAAAATGTTACATTTAAGAAAAAAAATTATATTTTTTTGTCTCTACTTTTTCTAATTCATCGTAGTTTAACACTTCATTTTACCCCCCAGCCAGTTAAGCCCCCAGTACCCAGTATACTACCACCCACCAGTTTACTACCCCCCACCCCAGTTTACCCCCCTCCAGTTTACCCTTTACCCTGCCCCTTTAGTTGGGGGGAGGGGTGGGGTAAAAAGCTTGAGGGGGCGAGGGGACGAAGTTGAGACATGGCATTTAGTAAAAGACAGGGCATAAATTCTGCAAACTTCTCGCAAAATTTACAAAATTTTGCAAAAATAATCGAATTTAGTTCTAAAAAGGAAATGGATTATAATCAATTATAATTGATTATAATGGGTTTTCATTTCAAAATAATCAATTATATAATGGATTATCTTATAATAATCGATTATAATAATCGATTTCAGTGACAAAAATAATGGATTATAATTGATTATAATGGATTTTAGTGGTTAATATTTGTTCAAAAATAATCGATTATAATGGCTATTGAATCGATTTCGTGGTCTGAATCTTACACCCGTAAAGGATTATAATCAACTATTTTTGTCTCGGGAATCCATTATAATTGATTAGAATCCATGGGCGCTCGGTGCGGGAAGGCCAAACTATGCAATGGATAGGTGCACAATTTAGTGTCTGTATGTTTCTGGATTCCAGAGACAAGTCTTTAAACATGTTTAAAAAATTTCGGAACGTTCAAAGAAATTGAGAGAACAAAAGAAGAACAAAGGGAGCGTCCTTGTTGCGGATTTCTTTTACAATTCACAAAACGCACAGTATGGCCTCGTTTGTGAATTAATTTTGAGAATTATGATGCATAATATAGTCATTTCATTTTCAATCATTTATATAATATGATACGTAGTTTTCAATATATGCTTTGATAGTTTTCGAAAACGCATTTTTCTGTCTGCCAGATAAAATGTTTTCTAAAACTCAAATTGTACACTTCTTTGCAAAAATCTTTGGCTTTTGAAATAAATTTTAAATTCTGTTTGTAGTATAACAAAAAGCGATCCAGTTATTCAACTTAATCCCGAAACCATTTTTGATCCCACTGTTCTTATAGCAAAATTTTTGATCACAAAAAAATCGAACAACACTTACTTTTCTTAATCAAAATTATTGATTGCAGCAAAGCTTATGTAGCAAAGCTTTGCAGAAACACTGTATGATTTAGAAAAAAGTTGAGCAGAAAAAAATGTTATACAAATTTTTGGGGCAAAAAAGTTACCCGGGTTAACCAAAAGTCACTGTATTAAGAATTTTTTTTATAAGAATCTTACAGCTTCTTACAAAAATAGCCTCAAAGAGTGTTACAAGATAGGGTCCATTTCTTGCAAGATAATTGTAGGATAGTGACTTTTCTTACAATTTTTTCACAACAAGTTTTGAAGTTCTCCGCTGTCCCAGTTATCAATAATGGAAACTTCTAGGTCAAAAGACTCGTTTATCTAGATGAGTTTGTCGAAGTAACCATTAACTAGAGAAAGCTAATTTTTGCTGATAATCAGAATCATTGTAGATGTATACCTGAACCCCACATACGACACGCCCAAAGCTATATAACATGACTCATCAGAGTTGATTTTTAGTTGTCTCCAAATTAATTTTGAACCACTAAATCAGTCTAACTACAAAAAAATGTTTCTTTTGATTTTTTTGTTCGACTTGCATACACGATAATCACTATCTAAAGTTTTTCACATGCACAGTTTTGAAAAATCATAAAGTTTGGTTAAACTGACTTTTATTTGTCACTATGGTTTAGAAACAAATTAAATGTATTTTGGCGCTTATTTTAATTTTGGTAAAAAGGTTCTATCTTGAACTTTTCTTATAAACAAGTTGTATGATAGCGGAAATTTACTAAAAATCGTATAACTAATTCTAAGGGAAAATTTTTGTGGGATGGTCAACCCGGGTAATTTTAAGGTATTTATAAGAATAGAGTAAATGTTTATGATGGAAGAAAGCTTGGTTAAAAACTTTTTTCGATATAAATTTATCGTTATCCAAAAAAGGATGTTAGCGTTAAAA